TGAGTGGATGTACTCGGGCAGCCGGAGCGCCCGTGAGATTACCAGAGAATGGGTCGACAAGACCGAGGCTTTCATCAGGCAAGTATTTGACCAGGCTCCCAGAGCGCGTGCCGTTTTTTGTCCCTGCATCAACTATAAGAACAGAAAGAGGCAGACAAAGGAGGTGATGACTTCACATCTGGCTAGGCATGGATTTACGAAAAACTATACCCAGTGGACCCACCACGGTGAAGCCGATCGTGTGAGAGAGGAGGTGGTGAGACCACGTGTCGAGGATTACAATGCTGATGCCAGGGTAGCAGCTTGGTTAGATGACTTTCATGAAGCACACTTACGACGGACGGACGTAGCGGCGGAGGAGGAGGAGCCAGAGGCAAGCGCAAAGGCGTATTACGACATGTTGTCTGCGGCAGGGAAACCCCTTCATGGCCACACACAGATTTCAAAGCTTGATGGCATTTCACGCTTAATGGCCTTAAAGTCCCAGTTCAACCTCAGTCGAGAGAACTTTGATGAAATGTTGACAGTTATTGGCTCCATCCTTCAGGCCAGTCACCTTCTGCCACAGAACATGTACGAATTGCAGAAGGTCCTTCGTGCACTTAAGATGTCGTATGAGCAGATACATGCTTGTCCGAAGGGCTGCGTCCTCTTTAGAAAAGCACACGCGGATGCAAAGTACTGTCCAAAGTGTAAATCCTCTAGGTATCTGGAGGTAGACTCTGGTGATGGTGAGAAGAGGCAGAGTCCGTACCCCGTGAAAATCCTACGGTACCTTCCATTCATACCGAGGATCCAACGGCTATTCATGACAGAGGAGTCCACAAAATAGATGATATGGCACAAAAATAGAAAAAGATACAGTCCTGAGAAGATGGTACATCTAGCCGATGGTGAAGCATGGCATCACTTTGATAACATTCATCGTAACAAAAGTGGGGAGGCACGTAATGTGCGTGTTGCACTGGCAATAGATGGGTTCAATCCTTATGGAATGATGGCTGCCCCATACACTTGTTGGCCCGTGTTTGTTATCCCTCTCAATCTCCCCCTTGGCGTCTCCTTCCAACGACAGAATGTGTTCTTGTCGTTGATAATTCCAGAACACCCTGGGAATAACATGGGTGTGTTCATGGAGCCTTTGTTCGATGAACTGGTCCATGCTTGGGACCATGGTGTATGGACATACGATCGAGCTACAAAGACAAACTTCAACATGCATGTTTGGTATCAATACTCCATGCATGACTTCCTAGCATATGGGATATTCAGCGCTTGGTGTGTTCACGGGAAGTTTCCATGCCCCTTGTGCAAGGCAGCTCTGCAGTTCAATTGGCTCCAGAAGGGTGACAAATATTCCATGTTCGACAAACATCGACAATTCCACCCTACTGAGCATCCATTCAGACGAGACATCAAAAACTTTACTAAAGGTGTCATGGTTACAGACCCGACACCATAGATGATGACCGGTGCTGAGGTTCATGATCAGATAGATGCTCTCCGGATCAATGAAAAAGATGGTAGGTTCGTGGGATATGGTGAGGAGCATATGTGGACTCATAAGTTGCCCTTGATGATGCTCCCCTATTATAACGACCTTCTTCTTCCACAAAACATTGATGTAATGCACACCGAGAAGAATGTTGCCGAGGCGCTTTGGGCAACGATCATGGACATTAAGGATAAGACGAAGGACAATGTAAAGGCGAGACTGGACCTGACAACGATATGTGATAGACCAAAGTAACACATGCAACCTCCTAGAAGCGGCAAGAAATGGACAAGGCCTAAGGCCGATTACAGATTGAAACCGGAACAAAAGAGAGAAGTATTAGAATGGTTCAAAACATTAATGTTCCCTGATGGGTATGCAGCGAATCTGAGGAGGGGAGTGAACTTATCTACCTTGCGAATCAACGGCCTGAAGAGTCATGACTATCACATATGGATTGAGTGTCTTCTTCCGGCGATGCTCCGAGGCAATGTCCCTGAGCATGTGTGGAAGACGCTAGCCGAGTTGAGCTATTTCTTCCGCCAACTTTGTGCCAAGGAGTTATCTTGTAGCGTGGTTGCAGAATTGGAAAAAATAGCACCTGTGTTGCTCTGTAAGTTGGAGATGATCTTTCCACCCGGCTTCTTCAACCCGATGCAGCATTTGATTCTGCACCTCCCGTATGAGGCACGAATGGGAGGGCCCGTGCAGGCCCGTTGGTGCTATCCAATCGAGAGATGTCTAAAGGTTCTTTGGAAGAAATGCAGAAACAAATACAAAATCGAGGCTTCCATGGCGGAGGCATTCGTTCTAGAGGAGGTTACTAACTTCACACAAGCATACTATGGTGACAAGCTTCCTAGCGTGCATAATCGACCCCCTCGTTACAATGCTGGTGAAAATGAATCAAAACTCAGCCTTTTCCAAGGGCAACTTGGAAGTGCGAGTGATGCGACCTCATTGTTGTTGAAAAATGAAGAGTGGCTCACAATCATTATATATGTGTTCACCAATCTTACCGAAATGGAGCCGTACATGCATTAAGTGGCTTCTTGCATGAACTTGTTAATTAAATATGCCGTCAACATTCTGCATCCAACCTCCTTGTTTCTCGTTGTTACAGGGAGTTTATTAATGAGAACTGGCATCTATCAAGGGAACATACCCCGCAAGAATGTGACACCATTCTTCATCAGGGTGCGGGAAATGGAATATCCGATTTTATTTCTTGGTTCAAACAAAAGATACTATGCAATTTAGCTCGTTCGCCGATTGACATTCCCAGTTGCTTGTACATTCCAATTTAACAATCTATCCTCCTTGACCTTGCACAGCCAAACCGATTTGACTATGAATCCAGAGTTGAGACAGGTTGCCAATGGCTTTGAACATAGGGTCAAGTCATTTTCTGGTTATGATGTGAATGGATACCGATTCCACCGGAACCTCGGGTGTCTACCAACGAGGTCCGGCAAGCCTACCTGAGCGGCCGATACCTGAGGCTCTACGCCCGGTCATTCAACCCGTTGGGCAAAAGTACGTAACTTTTACATTTTTTCGCTCCTACATATGATAGAATCACAATGGAAACTAACAGTTTTTCTTAATCACTTACGCAGGTCTTGGAAGGTCATGGTCCTAGGTGCTCACAAAAGGTTGCCCAATGGCATCCTGGGTCTTCTCTGCAGGGAACACTTCCTAGGCTTGGTTCGCTATGCCGAAGCTTTGGAGTCGGCCTACACGTACGAGCACTACGTCGCCGCCCCTGATGCGGAGGACGAGACGGGCCGCATGTACGAAAGCATGGCGGAGTGGGTTATGTGCGAGTTTTGGGTAAGTCTTCCTCCCACTACTTTGCTCAATACATTGCATTCGCTAGAGTTTCTTGAACCAGTGTATTGATACATCTTTTCTATATGCAGGACTTCTTCAAATGCGCCGAGGGCTACGAGGCGAGGGCAGCCAAGGCGTCGGCCAAATCTTTTAGAGGTCGCATCTCAGACATGCATTACGAGGCGCGACTCTAGGCCATCATCGATTATTGTGCCGTCTACGAGCATCGGAAAGTAAAGAAAGAAGATGCAAGATTAATGCATCTGACCAAAGAGCAGTACCTGAAGGTAAATATACAACATCAATATTGATTTCTTCTGAGATTGGGTAGGCTTGAATTGTTCTTATATCTGTCAATGTACTTGATGTCGTACAGGTGCCTCCTGGCTGGTGCGCCAATAAAACGCGGGCCTGGCAGATGATGGTCGACAGGTGGGTGAGTGGCAATTGGGCGGATAACCACACCGTCCTCTGGGAACGACATTTGCTGATGCCAGGTGTATCACACCACCAGGGCAACCTTAACATCCATGAATTCGGGGCTAGATGGGTACGTGACTTGGTGTAGCTTCATTTATTCTTTCAGACGTTTATTCCTGCATGATTTATAATCGTCTTGTTGTTTTTCTCGCAGTCGGCTGCACATCAAAACCAGCCATGCGGAGAGCTCAAGTCATGGGTTCTGGCCCACAAGGGCAAGGCGACAGACAACATCAACTGGAACCTGGACGACCCAGCCGAGTCGTTCACCAACGAGAGCATCCCGAGCGCATCAGTCAGTACACCGAGGCGGCAAGGGGAGTCCATGGGGCAGACTGGGATCCGCACACCGCGGACATTGACGGCGACATCGTCATGAGGGTGGGAGGAGGCAAGAAGCATGGGCGGTACCTCATCGGCAACAACACACTCGACCCGCACGCCACTCCCACTCTCTCACAGGTCCGGACAAGCAGCACGAGCGGTAGCGTGCCCATACGCCCAAGGCAGGACACTTCGACGCATCGTGTGGCAGCACTACAGGTTATTTCTGTTTTATTCGTCGTTCATTGGTTTTACATTCCTCGAAATTGCTTGTAACAATGCGGTGAAAAATTATAGACCCAGGTGCATGCGCTCGAGGAGCATAAGGCTAGGGTGGAGGAAGAGCGACAGAGGGAGCAGGAGGCCGAGCGACAGAGGTGGGAGGCCGAGCGGGCGAGGTTTGACACCTTGGCTCAGTACGTGGCAAGTCTTGGCGTCACGATGGGTCATCCAGCGCCACTAGAGCTGTTCGCTCCTCCACCGCCTTACCCATACCCACCTTACTCATACGTGAGTTCAACTTCTCTAACAAAAGCTCTTTACTGTGCATGTCGGCCATCGTGCCGTTGATATGTGATGGGAGGCCTTCGTGCCGTTGATATATATGTGTGCCGGCCATCGTGCCGTTGATATGTGGTGGACGGCCATCGTGCCGTTGGTTTTCTTGTAGGTTTTGGAAACCCCACCGTGTAGGGGAGGTGCTGCCGAAATTTTGATGTGTCTAGGCTTAGATTATAATTTTATACTTAGTTCTGCAAATTTTGACTTGTCTACGCTTATATTACAATTATATGCCTTAGTATTACTATAATTACTAATTTTTTCTTCTCCTTTGTGCAGAATCAATCGGCGGGTTTGAATGATGTGCCTAAGCAGCCGCCGTCGGGAGGGTCGTGGCACCAACCGTATCCACAACTTCCGCCGCATCAGCAGCCGTCGGGAGGGTCAGGGTACCAGCCGTATCCACACCTTCCGCCGCAGCAGCAGCCGCCGTCGGGAGGGTGGGAGCCTTGGGGGTGAGCCTGTTGTTCTTCATCATGTATTAGCACTTGGTGACATGAACTTGTGTGAGATGAACTTAGCACTTTGAGATGGACATGTGTTGTTGGATTTGAGATGTTTAGATGGATTATAATGTGAGACATGTGATGTGGATGACATATTTGTGATATATGTGATGTTGATGATGTGTTATATTTGTGAAATATGTGTTGTCGAAGCTGAAAATATAAACAAAAATAAAAAAAATGCTCTCTGGACTCTTTGCCGAGAGTAGGGCTCTCGGCAAATCTGCCTCTTTGCCGAGAGCTTGGTGGTCGGCTCTCGGCAAACCTATTTTTTTTTTTTTTTTGAAAACCACCTCGGCCGCAAATCTTTTTTTTTAACAATTCTTTGCCGACAGTCGCTCTCGGCAAAGAAGTTCTTTGCCGACGGTCGCTCTCAGCAAAGAAGCTGTCACACCGTTAGCGGTCGTTTGGCCGTTACTAGGGCGCGCCAGTTTAGCGAGAGCTAGAGTTTGCCGAGAGCCTTGCCATTACTCTCGGTAAATATTTTGCCGAGAGGGGCTCTCGGTAAAGAATCCTTTGCCGGTAGATGTTTTGCCGACGGCTCTTTGCCGAGAGCTGCTCTCGGCAAATAGTTTGCCGAGCGTCGGGCTCTCGGCAAAGGCCGGGAGTCCGGTAGTGCTTCCCCTGCAGCCGTTCGTAGTGATGAACGATCATCGTACATGCTGGGCTCAAGCTCAAATTCATGCATCAAATTGGGAATAATGGATTGGTTGCTCCCAATCTCCTTCCTTGCAGCCTCATCCACGGCCAGCGCTGCTACTATACCCATCACCTGCTCCCGTAGGTCATCTACTCGCCAGCCCCAAAAGTTCAAGATACGATCGAGGCTGTCCAGAAAGAAGGGGTTCTCCGACAGCTCCTTGCGAAACCTTGCGCTAAGTTTCCCACCGTTGATAGCAATCGTCCTCACAAACTCAAAACACAATCGTGCCACTTCCATCTGCTCTGTCCTTTTTTTGTGATGCTGTTCCATCTGCTCTATCATCGTTTTTTTGTGATGCTGATGCTGTAGGCCACGGCCACCACTGTTTTCCTCGACGGTGAGATAGCAGCTGATAAGCCCTATGATATTAGTGATGATGTTTTTCGCATCTTTGACTATTTCTGTAATGAGCTTCTTATTGGATTCGGAGTCACCTCGTTGCAGGCTGTTGTCGAGAATCCGCAGCCCAACAATTTGCAATTCATGGCTTGAGGTGCAGCCAAGGGACTGGATGGCGAAGCTCTCGAAGGTCGAGGCTGGGTGTGTATTTCTCTTTCTCTTTCTCTTCTTGACGAAAAAAAAAGTCCCGTTTCCATGCGTGCCAGGTAGGCTTGACGGAAGTATAGGCTGATAGGTTTGGCTCCCCACTCTTGTTTGAATCCCAAGTCACGGGCAAGCGATATGCGACGGAGGAAGGAGATGAACCCGAGGATGACTGCCAGGATACAGGATGACCCTTGGCATAGCTCCAGCATGAAGAAGAGTACTATGGATGGCACCAAGTTTGGGCTTGCCCCATCAGGCTGGGGGGTATAGTCATGGCGGTGATGACCTAGCAGGCTGCGAAGGCGCAAAATCGAATGCAGAACCTGCAGGAGTGCCACTGGGATCTGCAAGTTGGCGATCAGCATTCCTGCTGTCACCGAGAACAACATATAGAATGATATCGCAAGGGAGACGGATATGCCAGGTAATGGGAACATCACGCTCCAAAAGAAGAGTATGGGCAGGATTGTTTCGACGATCTGCAAGAAGAGGCCACAGCAGGATGAGCTACTATCTTTTTCCAAGGTCTCTGTCTCTGGAGAGCTATTGTTGTTTTGCTCCGATGTCCCCGAGGAGCTATCATCATCGTGATCTGCTCCCCAAAACACTTCGTTGCTAACCATTAGTAGCGTTATAGCGACCGATATGCTCAAGTATCTGTAATAAGAAGCTAGTGTTGCTTGGAGGAAGGGCAGACATGCCAAGGCTGAGGCAATGAAGATCTTAAAGCGAAGCAGCGGTATGGGATTTCTCATAGATGGTAAACAGGACATGATTCGACAGGCCAGCACTGTCAGAAGCATAGTTCCGAATAGCCATGCAAAAGCTAACCCGGTAGCTTTCAGGGAAGCCAGCGTATCATGCTTGGATGTCTTGGATCTTTGCGGTGCTGTTATGACATAACCATACATGGCTCAGCTAACACAAGCAATCCCCATAAGAAAGAGGGCAGTGTGAACAAAAGAGCCCCTCTGTAGTCGAGTCAGCAACTGGCTGACAATAAGCAGGAAGGCCACCTTTAATATGCTTGAAGCTATTTCCGGCCGAAACTCGGGAACTAAGGCAACGCCGACACCTATGAACACCACACTTAATTTCCCAGACGTTTGTCCCACTAACATGCGAGGGAGAGAGAAATCTTCCCATCTGAATGCACGCGTGGAGCCGAATATTAGCCGCTGGTTGACCGATGCATCGTAAACCCTGACAGACATGCAGCGTAGCCATGAATTTTGGTGAGAAATCTTGAGATGCCAAAGCCTTTTTCGTGATCTATACATGCATGTGTAGTAGTAGTTCGAGGAACGCACCAGCTGGAGCCTTCCATGAAGACCATGACCGTGGCAAACCAGAAATCCACGCGGATCAGCAGAGAGCAGAACCCGCCAAGCAAGACCACAGTGGCCCAAATGGAGGCCAGAGTGCCGGCAGCGTTGCCCGCCCACTTCTTATTCAGAGTTTTCAGCTTCCTCCTCACCGCGTCGGCACTGCGGCTCTCGCTCTGCTGCACCTCGGCACCGGCAGGGTCCGCGTGCGCCGTGGCCTCCACTGAGATGGAAAGCTCGCCGCCACTGGCAGGAGTCGTCGCCATTGTTTTAGTCTTCCCTACAGTGCCGGTCGTTGCCTGACAATAACCTGACTAGTGTGTTTATATATGTACCAGCAACAGCAATTACAGATGTAGCCATCCTGCTTGTAGCCTTGTACTCCACACCGGGTCACAGTAACCGGCATGCCTGTGCTTTGTAATTGTGGGCCGTTTGCCGGCTCTTTGCCCTGGCATTTTTGAACGAACGCTGGGGTGGGACGGGGCGTGCTCCGCCCCTCGTTTGTAATTTGTTTCCTCGAAGAAGACATGATAGATACAATAACAAATATTTGGGAAGATGGCATCATATAAGCACAAGTCAAGCGTGCTTGATTTTCAGGTCATTTTTTTAAATTGATTTTCAGGTCATTACTTCCGTGGCAAAAGAAACCCCCACCTCTACTTCCAACATGATTTGATTCCGCCCCAGTTGTAGTCCTCACTGCACTAGGGAAACTGCCTTCGGAGTGGTAGGTATGTTACGGATTTCTGTAAAATGAGTAGCAATTCATATGGATTAGCACACTCATTAGTGGTGCCATTTCATTAATTTTATGCTGCTCATTGGCCTAAGACTATATGGCATGTGGTGTAACAAAGTAAATTAATGGGCATATATAAACCATTGTTAGAGGACAGATGAAGACATTACAATGATGGAAATATTGTTTTCCATTGCTAGAACTTGAACGCCGTACTTATCATTTTTCCGGGAAACAAAGGCGTACTGGCCTTGGCGCCAGGGGTCTCCCAGGCGACTCGAGTGGGTCTTGGTAGCCGTTCTGAGTTCTAGTGTCCTTTAGTTTCTCTTTCTTTGCGATCTAATCTAGGTTGATTCCCCTTCACCTTTTTGGTGATCTGATCCTGACTCTCTGGATTAGTGTGCTCCTGCAATGTCCACCAAGACCTGATAACTGTAGTTGTTGCTAGCCATCTCCTAGTTTTTGCGGAACCGCTGTCAGGGGCGTCTACGATCTAGCGGCTCGCAGCGCCGGCGCACAAGAGTGGAAGCATGGAGGGAGTGGAGGGTCTTTTGAAAAATTTACAACTGCCAGAGGCAGAGAGGAAAAGCGTTCGGATTGGTGGTGGATTGGGAGGAATGCATGGCGATGCACCTCCACAGGCTTTCGGTAAACTGTTGTCGGAATGGGGAGTGAGATGAGAGACTCTGGTTCAGGCAATAGGGTGGAATTGATGCCCGCTACGTGGGGTCGATTGCAAGGAGTTGGGTGACAATTGTTTCCTATTCACCTTTCATCAGGTGGTGGGGAAGAGAAGGGATTTGGATGATGGTCTGTGGACGATTTCGAAGGAGTTCCTGGTCATGGCAAATTATGATGGGTCTAAATCTCTTGATGAAATAGACTTCTCGACTATTCCGATATGGATCCGGGTGGCAGGCCTTCCCATGGGCCTAATGAACAGGGCGACAGCGATGGTGATTGGAGATGAGATAGGGGAATTCATGGATGTGGATTTTGAGAATGATGAAATGGTAGATGGGAGATTTCTACAGGTGAAAATTAGGCTGGACATATGCAAGGCATTGGGGCGAGGCATAACCATTGATCTTGGGGAGGATGCAGAAGGCAGATGGTGTCCAATCTCATATGAATTTCTCCCGTAATTCTGTTATGTTTGTGGCATTATTGGACACATAGACAGAGAGTATGTACTACAAAGTTGACTAACGGGGTGATGGCTCCTTTTGATAGGGAGTTGAGGTACATACCTCCCAGGAAGAGGGGTGGAGGGGATAGTTTTCAGAGCCAGGAGAACTTTGGGCTTCTGGTAGGACGGTATGGGGGATCGAGAAGCGGGAGCTTTTTGGAGGTTTAGGGAGTAGAGGTAGAGGGGGAAGATCTAGAAGTGACACCCTCTCATGGAGGGAGGAGCTGGAGTTTCGAGGATGGGAGCATCTAAGAAAGAGAAGGAGGAGGTCACAAGCCCGTAGAAGGTGCTACACGTGCAGGTGACAGAGAAAATGCAAAGAAGAACCTGCTTCCATCCCTTATCGCCGGGAAGTCTGTGCTAGCTTGTTGGTATAAATTAATACACACAGATATTATACCGTTGTAGTACTTCACCGAGAGTAACCCAGTTTTATATCGAACCCAAAGGAACGGGGGTGAGAATAACTGACTCTAACTTAACCCAACTTCACAATCAAGGCTAGATAATAGGAGCGTAGAGGAGACTGCTAAGGTCTTCTAATTCTAACTTCGGTAAGCTTTGTCTTCTATTATTCAATTCTGGGGATATTACTAGAGAAAACACAAGCAGAGTATGTTTCCTATAATAACAAAGTCCTGCTAGGCCTACTAATGGGAGGTGGACTACAGAGGATTCAACGAGGCTATAAGAGTCACCCTCGCGAGCTACCACCGATCCGGAAAATAGAGTACATCCACAAGTAACCGAGTCTAAGCACCACGCATACACTACGAATACTACTTTAACCCAGGAGCTACAAGGATTAAAGTACTCAAAAGAGAGTCGCAAACCTGAAGAATAATATGAACAAGATGCTTACTTGAATTAGAAGTCGATTACTAGAGAAATCTCAGCAAGCTCAAGAAGAACTTGATTCCGCCAGGGTACAAGCCGTAGAGAGAGCACCGACAGGCTGGGACTCCTCCAAAACTCTTCCCTCTCACTCACTCTCTCTATCTCTAATACAAGACTAGATCATATCGAGGACTAATATTCTCTTGTTTGCTAGCCCTAATCCTGGTGGACATATGAATTAGGGTTTCTGGCTTCTCAACTCTCAGGATCAAATGAGGCATGTCCTGAGGAGGGGGGGTGCAGGCAGATATATATAGACCGGAGCGTCAATCCTCAGCCCTTGGATCAAACCAACTTGAAATAACGGCTGAGATGCATCCTCGGAGGCGGTGGAGAACCAACATAACAAAGAGGATGATAGGTGGGGCCCATAGGGGCTGGGAGGCCTCTAGGTGGGGCCGGTAGGCCCCACATGTCAGTGGGTCAAGCCCCGCTTCGGTGAAGAGCCTCCTGGAGTCTTCTAGAACCTTCCCACATTGATCCCGCGGTGGAATTCCATGACTTCCTTTGACGAATAGCTCCCCTTCACGGTTTTCTGATTAAATTTTGCTGAAAACACAGATTCACCAAAACTCATGGAATTGGTCAGTTTAAACCCCTAAGTCTATGTTGGTGATCTATTTTAGCCATTTATGCAAGGTATATTGATGGTTTGTGATGAGTGTTAACTACCATCAACATAGCTCAAGCTGCGGGGGAAGGGAATGTGTGGGTGAACAATGGCATGTAGCCCACGCAACGAATCTGATACAAGGGGAGACAGGTTCAGAAAAGAAGAATACACCTAAGAAGTTCGAATGCAAGCCCAGAGAAAGTAAGAACAAGGCACATGCCAATGTGTTCGTAGCTGAGAAGGTGGGAAAGAGACGCTCTGAGGAGGCTATGAAGGTGGAGGTAGATTGTAGGTCGAGATGGCGGACTAGAGGAAGGGTGAATAGTACTTTCTAAAAATAATCGCGTCGGCTAACCGAAATAAATGCGAAATTAAAACTATCGATGTAGCCAAGACTACACCCCTCTATCTAAGTTCTCAAGCACCTTACAAAGATCCTAATTAGGCAACAAAGATGCCGGACCAGCTAGAGCTCACCTAACAATTCTAGCTTACAAGGTCACACAAACATATGCAACTAGTACTTCAAGCAACGGGTGAGCTCCTACACAATTCTAGTAGGCAAAAACACAAAGCTCATAAGCTCAATAGCAATGCTCAATAACAAAGCTATGCAAGCCAAATTATAGAGCGCAAAACACTTAGCTACACAAACTAAACAATATTACTAACAAGGTTAAAAAAACCAAATTAGTCACGCAAGGGAGCTACTTCTATGCTACACAAGCAAGAAGGTAACTAGCAAGCTACACAAGCTAACTAATTACAAGAGCAACTACACAAGCACAATGTATATGAAAGGAATTACAAGCTTGTGTAAAGGGGATGCAAACAAATGGGAAGACAAGGATAACACGGTGATTTTATCCCGAGGTTCACGTGTTTGCCAACACGCTAGTCCTCGTTGTGTTGACCGCTCACTTGGTGGTTCGGTGGCTAATTGGCATCACCCGCCAAGCCCGCACGTCGGGCACCGCAAGAACCTACCTCAAAAGTGAGGGTAGCTCAATGACACACTCTACTAGAGTTGCTCTTCGTGGCTCACACGGGGTGAGCACAATACCCCTCACAATCACTTCTCCGGAGCACCGCACAATCTTCTTTGCGTGCTTCAACGGAGACCACCTCCAAGCCATCTAGGAGGTGGCAACCTCCAAGAGTAACAAGTACCACCAGCTTGCACCACGATGCAATCTCACAATGCAATCGCACAATGTAATCGTATTAGAATCGCTCACTCACTTGATCGGATAAATACTACTAAGCAAGAGTGAGTTAGAGGGCTCATAAGCACACCTACATAAGCCACTAAGGCTTAAGGGTGCTCTAACAGCCAGTCCAAGACCGGCTAAGGCTTATATTTATAACCCATGAATAAAGAAAGCCGTTACCTCTTCGCTGAATAAAAAAACTTACTGACCGGACTCGCTGTTATAATCGACCGGAATACCGGACGCATCAGGTCGCAGCGTCACTCGGGTGACGGACCGGCAGATCCTTCTAATTAATAAGGCGCAGAAAGGTACCACAAGGAAAAGGTTATACCTGCTCTGTTACTCCTGTCACTTTCTTATTGTGCACATAACTCATACCTGTACTTATAGGTCCCGTCCATCGCCTAAGAAAAAGATATGAAAGAAACTGTTCACTAGCGAGGAAACCGAAGATGATAATGGTGGCGGTAGTTGAGATGCAAGTGCTGCTGATCAGCACAGGTACCTCGCTGCATCAAGCATAAGATTCATCTACCTGGTTGGTTGATTTCTATTTTTACACATATCAAACAAGTTGAATAAACAGATAGTAAAAAAGGAGTTAGGCT